GGCGTTGACTCGGACGTATTCCACCATTGGTACACGACCTAAAGGTGTCGTGGCGCTTGGATGAAACTTTTAATCCCATAACCCTTTTCCATTTAGTGGCGAAAGTGAAGTTCTCACCCGTCCACGTCGCTGAGAACACACGATTGATTGTGCGCAACTGCACGAGCTCAGCAATTTCGGCCCCAATGACTGCCATTTTTAGCGACAGCATGCTGTTGAAGGCGAGAGAACACTCCATCGCCTTCTTCGTGGTGTAGTCGGCGTACAACTATCTTGAGGAGCTTTGTCGACCTTCTTGTCTCCTCTCGCGAGATGGTCAGGGAGAATATTGAGAAGCGCTAAGTTTTCGTCGTCGAGTATCCACTCGGTCACTTCCCTGGCTGAAAATGCCTTCGATGCCTTTTTGATTCTGGTGTTTCTCCACAAAGAAGGCGTTCTCGGTTGATGTCTTCACAGTTTCTGGAGGCTTCACATTTTTGCACGGACGATCTGGCGATGCACGTTATGCTTGTTGTCGGCTGCCACGTCCTTCTGTTCGAGCGATAGATCTATCGGCTGAAGCGCATGGAAGTAGTTCTCGGTTGCGATGCTATCCAGTGGCATCGGCTTCTGCTCACCGGAATAGCAGTAAAATTGATCGGCTACGACCTCACTTCCTTTTGTTCTTCATGACGGTGGTGAAGCAGTAGGTCAAGAGCAACATTGGTGGGATTCTCGTCTTCGGACATCCAGGGGGAACGATCTTGTCGCTCGAGCCGTTGAAGGTTGGGATCGACGGTGCATCGTCCTGGTTGCTTAGGGGGCTTACGAGTTGGTTGACAGCAGGTTGTTGACCATGCTGAGCTCCGCTTTGGAGCTGACCATCCTGTTTCTTGGCTTCTTCGACAGCTTTCTGGAGCAAGGTTTGCTTCGGTGGAGCTTTCGCTGCTTACGCGTACAAATTCGGAGACGTTTGTTGATACTGCTGCAGCTATGAAGCAGATTTACTGGAATACGCTAGTTGAAAAAGCTCGTCATCGGTCATCCCAAAGTCGATGCCGTGGTGCGAGCGGTAGCTGAATGGCAGACGTTCTGACTGGAACAGAGCATATTTGCCCTGCGCTGGATGCAACTTGATATCGAACAGGATCTCGTCGTACACCGACCAATTCACCACTTAAGCTCTCGGACATGTGCTGGTGAGTAAGTAAATGCGCCAGGTAGCAAACGTGATTTCCATCGCGAGTTTTATTTCATGGAGCGTGTTGTGTACCGGCTTGCATCCCAACAAGAACAAGCGGTGGAGTATCACGTCCGTGTTTCTGTTAAGTCGACGTTCGCGACATCGATGAAGTTACCAACTATGTTGAGCTTCTACACCACCACGGATATTGATCTTTGCGCGCTCCAGCGTCAAGTAGGCTTTATCAGTCTTCACTTCTTTGCGCAGGCTGCCACCGGAGAGCTTCGATACTTGCCCAATCGCGACTTCACCGAAGGACTGCTCGAGAGCTTCGTTACCATGGTACAGAAACACTATAATCTTCTGTAGCGAAGTTTTGGTGAGCGTTCGACTAGTGTCGATCACCATGTTGTATTTTGTGCGCGGAAGCTTATGCAGTCACGCTTGCTCCATGCGTGTTGAGATGAACGACCAGTCACCACCAGCGGTGTAGTCGCCTCAAACGCTTCGTAGTCACAAATAAGGGTCTTCGGGGTCTCCGCACGACGACGCGCAGCTTCGTTGAGCGTCATCGCGTCGAATTGGTTCTTGCTGCCACAACAAGTTCGCAATCGTCGGACGCGATTCGACGCTTCAAGGCGGTGAAGCATTGACGGGAAGCTGTGTGAGATTCACCGACTTGTCGACCATAGCAGCAGCGTTAGGAAGCGAATCAGCGACATGTGAGGTCGCGTCTATGAGCTCGTTGCATCAGGCACAACGGCCGACAGAGCGGGTAGCGCAGACGTTGGAGACGAAGAGAGAGACGGCGTAGTCGAATGAGTGGTTGGCGATGAGCCACTTGGAGATTTAAAGCCGGCGTAGGAATCCGAGCAAGATGGGTTGACTGTGGTACCCCACTGGATAATGGAATCGAGCCAATCACAGTTGGTGGAGGATGTGGTGACAAAAGCAGCTGGATTTATCATCTTCACGGGGAAAAATGGGAGTGACAGCTGGAGCGGAGGGCTAGGGGAGGGGGGGTTCTTTTGAATAGTTGATTCGCGTGGTAGCCGGTAAATTGAGAGATATACTAAAGCTTAGCTCATATCCGAATACATGACGCTTAAAAATTCAGCAAAAATTATCGATTTTTAAAATTTTTTGATCTTCACTTCCGGATGGATACCTTTGTACGTTTGTTACCGCTGAAAGTCCAAACTTCCTCTGGCCTAATGCGTGACAACTACATTGCAGGATGGAACGTGATATATACATCAATATTTTCTCAGGAGTAGTTAGCTGGCCCCGACAGAGTAGCACAATTGACGACCCGAAGGTCAAAAGCAGTTATTGCTCCCCTGGAGGTGTTTAACAGTTTTCAAAAAGCTCCGATCTAAAATTTAATACAGACGTCGATAAAGTGCGACCGATTTCGACAGTGCATGCCAAGCGTCCAACGCCTTGGGGCTGCGCGGAGGTAAATCGCTCATTCTGACCAAGGACAGTTGATATGGTTATAAATTTAGCCATGTGCGTGTCATTGTAGCGGTCTTCAGACTAATAAAAAACAATTACTGATAAGCGATGCCTTCTTAGAAGAGGCATTACAACAAGGAATATTTATGTGACGGGTGACCTGGGTGCTCACACCGCCTGACATATGCGAACAACATTTTTATCACCCATCAAGCCGGCAAGGTTCAAAAAGACATGCTTAGAAGTTTAAAACTAGTTTAGCCGGGATGGTGGCATGTCCTCTTTCAAAATTACATCTTCATGGAAGGATTTCATAACAGACGCGGCTTGTCCGAAACATTCTGCGTCATCCTTCCACCTTAGAGAGAGCAGTGGGTGTCGCATTAAACGCGAAATGCGATTTATGCGATGGAGAGTGCCTGTTATGGAGCAGAGGGTGAAATCGCTACAGACAATAGCCCTTCGTCAATCTAAGGAGGAACAGATAAGCCTTTTTTTGCCGTCGCGCAGCGCCGTGGTTTTTGCAGAGATTACATCTGCGGCAGCACCCAATATTTGAGCCGTGGATGTTTTTTGCTGTCTCGTTTGATTGGTAGATAGGGTCGAGCTCCTTCGCAGGGTTGACCGACGAATTCGTCGCAGAGGAATCTCGAGGCCTAGTAAGCACAGGGTGATCTACTTTAAAATTTGCATCCGGTTGTAGCTCATGGAAGCTGAGAGCAATGAGCAGCAACACTAAGGAATGTGCTATTTTTGAGATGTGGGACTTACAAACCAGGGCTATTGGCTGTCGGCAATAACGTCCCGGATTTGTGGAGCTACAGAAAGTCCTGATAAAAAAAGCGTTTGCAGCTATGTACAATGCATGAAATAGCATACAGCTCGCGGGTGCATTAAAAATACTGATTACGGATACGATATTCGTGCGTCTTGTGACGGATACATGTCGAAAACGTTTGATCTTCCCGTGGAGCTTAAATACTGTGACTGGGTTAAACGTTGTCTCGACCTTGACGAGGATTAAGGCTTTTTACAAATCCCTGGTCTTACATAGCACGAACGCCATGAGCCATGGATCGACCGGAAGTTAAAAAACTTTAGGTGCTACGAGCTTCATCCAGGGTGGAGCTTTTGTTATTAACTAAGCAGGTAGCAAAAGCCCTTTTGGTGCGGGCAAAAACGTACGGTACCTTTGGAGCAGGATATGAGGTGTACTAATGCACGAGCTGAGATGCTGGTTAATGCAAAGTTTGGAAGGTAGAAGTGGCAACGCGTAGTGCCTTTAGAAAGATTGAGCAGAAAAGAGGGGTCGTGTTTTGAGTTCACCTATGGTGAGATGGAATGAGCAACACTATATCACAACTCTATTACACAAGTTCGAATGGGAGGATTTTTGCAGCTAATAGCTGATATCTCCAGTGCCACCGCGTGAAGATGAGTAAAGGCAAACTTTTATCACAGTCTTCTGTGCCAAGGCCGATGGAGGAAAGTAAGATCACTTGGACGTCGTGATCTCCTGTGACGGAGACAAAGTTGATGAAACTAAGTGACTGTAAATCGCAAATGGGAACCCTATGAAAGGCAGTGAGGTCACCGTAGTCATATGGCTGGTAAAAATAGCTGACCTTATCATCCGACATAGGTGAAGACCTAAAAAAGACGCTGAAGGATAGTTACCCCGCGGATCCTCTCATCTTTGTTGAAGGAATATAATGACGCGGTGACGTGAAAGTCATCATGCGTGCTGCCCCCGTTTCGGGGTTCGTTACGAGATTGACTTAATGCGTGAAGCCAAACATTGTCTTATTTGTCAACGGCCCTCACCAAGGGAACACTGTGATATCATATACGCTTTTTTTCGCGCAAAGTGTTATTGGCGAAAAATTAAATCTTCCTACTCGAAGTCGAATCCTGAAAGGATAGCGGCAAGGCCGAATTGTGTGAGCGTCTGATAAGCCATTAACAGCCACATTTTTTACGGCACAAACATCGATTTATAGAAATGGCGTGCTCTAAAACAGCATGATAGGTTGCACCTACTTGACCTAGTCAATACTTTCTATCAAAATCATGTAAGGACAGATTAATGCTATGATTATTTCAAGCTATATGTGACTAATTAATTGAGAGACTGTCTAACTCCAAGCGATGTACATTTGTAGATACGAAGACAACATTGTGCCTAAACACAAACCTATACTAACAATTTAGTATTTACTAGTCATGCAGAGCATGGGGGGCATTCATATTGGATAAGTGTGAGCGGTTATTGAGTGTATGCATCTAGTCAAGCTGTTCGATGATACAGACAGGTTATTGTGCCTTTGAAGAAATCCTTATTATTCATATATCATCATAATAGCAGATTTCGAAACGATCAATGCCGTCGCAGATTGACCGGTACTTTGTCCCACAGGAACTCAGCTAGTTGGTTTGTCCTGGACAAATATAGTGCACATCTATTCAACATGGTACCAGTCTGCCCAAAGACAGATCAAATGATGCCGGGGGCGACAGAAAAGGCGATTTTCGAGGCTGAGATTCAAAACCTCGTATGTGCCCAGATTTTGGCCATTTCGAACCAAGATCGGCTTTTTATGTCGTTTGTGATGCTTCAGCCTTCGTCAAAAGTTAACTTTAAATCGTAGGAGGTATTAACTCGCATGAACACTTCAAATGCGCTTAGGTCTTGTTTGGCCAATGCGAAAAAAACGAAATATTCATTTCGTGACAAAATGTATGCCCTTCCCAGGTTCACAGTATAACGGCTTGGCTCTCAGTGATCAACACAACTCATACCTCGTTGTGTACAACAACGTCGTCATCTTATTCTCGCTGTGCAAGGGGATTTGGTTGTACTTTCATGCCGAGTATACCCTCCAGGAAAAGCTAAAACCCAGGTGGAGCTGATGTGACAATGGATGTGCTTTTACGTCGCCCAGACTATGAGCATTCGTGTTCTGAATGATGACGTTAGACATCGACGATGCTACACTTTCGGCGTACGAGTTATATGCAGCATGTGCTGCGTCGCATAAGGCTTTAAAATGCAAGTTGTTCTGGACTCAGATGCCTCTTCGTCGATGATCTTGCTACCCGTTGATACCGCTGATACGTGTCGCGACGCTTGATAACGACTCAATTGACACTCAGTACGCAGTGCTATCTGACGACTAGGACCTCAAGTACAGAATACTGTGCGAGACAAGTCATTCTTGTTATGTGGTCACCTTTATAGAAAAAATCACATGGCTTGATAAGCGGACGGTATAACCGGTATATTTGTTCAAGCAGTTACATGCGCACGTTCGAAGCGCTTCAGCAATTTTTGCCCTAACAGCATGGATCGGCTTCTTTGGATAACATGTCTGTTCCGGTATAGTGATGTCAGTTCATAAGGTGATATTTGATTTTTGGTCTTCCAGAAGCCGCGACTAGATTTGTAGTAGTGTGTGAACTGTCTGCGCACGATGTTCTTATCTCGACGCTATCAGCAATACCATTTTTGATGGGGATACAGACAAGCTGTTCCTCAACAAATTAATGTTACTCTTAAGAACCATTGTTCTGAGGTTTACGCTTTACATCAAAAATATAGATTTAGCAACTTTGCAAGCGTGGTGGGCACATGTCCACCGCCGACTACCAACAGATATATGGTCGGACGGAATGCTCTAATCCTGTAGTAACGATGTTATCCGAAGCACTTGCGCTGAGCTGGAGCGCGGTACTCCCACTCATTAAGTTCGCATTGAATACCGCAGTACATGCTTCTGAAACGTTGCCCCAGTATAGGTTCCCCTTTTCCATATTAGTTCTAAAGTCAACCTCTTTACTACTTTGACACAACCACAAGACGGGTTGATTTTGACGGTGTCAGGGCTGTAAATACGAGTCAACTTGCAGATATCAGACCGGCTACGATTCATGATAAGAATTTTGTCGTGATGAGATTAAGCGTCATGTGCCGAGTGTGCGGTTTTAACTGCGCAAAAGAAGCATGTATACGCCAGGGGCAGGCGGAATAGCTAAGAATACGCAGTGGGCAAAAATGACGCTGTTACATACCCGCACATGCTGTGTCTACAGATGCTACGGCTAAGTTGAATCCCCACTTCCTTGGATAGCTCACGCCCACAGCCCGTGGTTTGCTTAAACCACCGTCTCAGTTACACATGCCATAAAAAAAAGCTCTAGTGACGGCGAAGCAACGTCTATTCATTTATCGCAGCTATTTATTTGCTGCTCTAGAGCAGCAGTACATTTCTGAAGGCTTGAGGCTCATCAAGCCAATCAATTCGATGATCTTGCCCGGAAAGGACATCTGAGAAGTGGTCCATCCCGGTATCAGACGCGCGCAAAAAATCCCGGAGATATCCGGCATGCCGCCATTCCCAAGAGGTCCAATGATATCCATCTACAAATTAAAGAGCTGTCCACCGCCAGTACGGCTTGATAAGCAAGGGGTGTTCCAAACCCATGCGGAAAGTAGTATTGGATCGGCGAAAATACAGCTTTAGCAAGTATTTAGTAGGTCTACTTTCATTGTGAGAGCTCAAGGGAGTTGAGTTCCCGTATCGGTAAATTGTATCAACGCTGTTGCCGTTTACGACCTGGCGCATCTTAAGTCTTAAAGTCATAGGGAGAAGAGACAATGTCGCTCTGCGCAACGCGGCTCCCACTATTGTTGAGAGCCGGACCTTGCTCCATATCTAAAACTTGGCAATTGTTGAATCCGAGACTCATGAGGATGAGCAAGGTCGCTGACAACAAGTGATGAGCATTACCTCGTCATCCACACCATGATTTGTTCTTCGCAAATTAAAGCATTAATGACGTTCGAGTCGGATGTTTGCTAATCTAAATATAGTTTGTGAGACTTAGAGACGGTTTTGGCTGCGTGCCTTTTTTACCTATGCGAGAAATGCGTAAGGGACTCTGCGACACTTTCACCGGCATTCAGTACCAAAGGTGCCGTCTTCATGGAGGTTGAAGATAAACCCACCTCTGTCGCCCCAGGCGTAGGCAGTACTTCTGAGGAGCGTTAACTTAAGAGGTCAGAAAGTGCTCCCGAAGCGTTTTCTGTTGATACTTTTTATTTGGGTCGACAACCTACACGCATGGACGTGTAAGGGTTCCGAAACAACGTAGCGGGTAACTTCAATTAAACAATATAGACATGATGGAGTCCGCGAAAGTCATCGCATTTTTGTACATCCAGACGAGCTCACATTGTTCGTTGGTCCAGGTTTGCCTCCTTCATGACAAGCAAGTTGTCTGTGACAATGCCGCGTTGGACGTCACTCATTGGGAGTGCAAAGATCATAAGAAGGTGAGGCGGGGCAGAGATGTTGAGTGGCGGATATTTCTGTTTATTGATACACATACGCATTTCACAGTTATCCCTTAAACTTAGATATGACATACTAAAGCATTGATACAGATGATGGTTATGTGGTCCGTAAAGTGAAGGCCCATGGGATGAATAGCTGCTAGTCTAATATTACGTGACACATAAGGTTTCAGTTCTGTAACAAAGTCGATCATTGGTTGTTTAAGTTTTAGTATTAGCTACATAACACTCTTGAGATCGATAATAATAGATATTATTTACTTGAGAGGCTTTCGGCCCTATCCTTGGGTGTTGAGTACGAGCACGCCACTGTGCGCTTGGTAACATGATTTGTTGAACCAAAGATTTTTCTGCGCGAGGTACACGGAAACCGTAATGCACTTGGTAGCACGTATTGTCGTATCGACAACAGAGTCTTAAGCAACTGTATAATTTGTGAAGATGGAGCTTTAGCTGTCAGCTTTACATTCTTCCAAAAACAAGACACGCGAAAAAAAACTCTGTCTTTATTTGGCCCCGACGGAAGACTACAAAAAGTGGCACAAGCGCGGAAAGCGGTGACCGCTCGCCTGGAGGTATTTACCAGCGAGACATTTAAGCTGATAGGGCACTACAAGGATGATTTAGCCCAGGCGTTGCTGAATACACTACCGGCCTCAAACCGTGTGGCTGTTTGCGCTTCAAGTCTTTAGAGTGCAGAAACAATGAACATCTTTTTGTCTGAAAACAGAAACTGAAGTGGTCATTAATTTGGCCGAGCTCCAGACAGAACACCTAAGCTTCACGCTAGCTGTGTTCAAGCATAAAGACGGCGAGCGAGAATGAACACGAATGTGCATTTTTTTAAAAGAAAGGGATTCAAACATGACACGATTTGCGGCAACTAATGTCGCAGGTTTATGCATCTTCGTACCAAGCGTATTGAGTGCGATCAAAATTCTTTGCTATCAGGCAAGGAGGCGGCTTATTGCTAAAAGTTGAGAGATTCCCTTGCTGCGATGAGATAAGATCTTTCCCGGAGGCGTTGATAATCACTATCCTCACCAAAGGTAACTGTATTGGTGCGGCTCGCACTGACACTATTCTTTTCACCCCGCCTCTTTCGAGGATACCGTGGGTGTACGATTGGATGCGGATCACAGCTTCTGTGCCCCGAGCGCCATTCAGATTGGCGAGGGCTATTAATAAGCTTTTGGGGTGATGTATTCGCTCCGGATGAGCTGGGGGATGAGTTCCTACCTGTCGAGCAGCTCCGTGGAACTTGTCTGCTTTATCTAGGCTTGTTGAGCTATATACTCGTACCGTTGATCCTTATTGCACGGCTTACTGTACTACAGCACTGACTCACTTTCCACTCATTGTGTAATAGTTCCTCCTGACTCGGCACAAGAAACACACCCTAATTGACCACCTCGGTGAAGATATATATCACAAAAATCAGCGAGCGCTTTGCCTAGCAAATATATTTATGAAAGCACAGGTGCGAAATGCCGCAGCGGTATCAACTCTTACCGCATGTCTTTCAACAGTCTGTCGGACCCGGCAGACCGCCAGCAGTCCATAACTTGGCAATTTATCTAGCAAACCAAAAGGTGCGTCCGGTAATAGCGGTATTGTTGTATTTGTAGACCGTCTGATCAAGATGACTGATTTTGTTGCTGTCAGCGATATCGCTACCCGTGAGAATCCTACCAAGCACTTTCTCGACAATATTTTCAGCATCTTTGCTTTCCATTGGCAATTGTCTCGGATAGTGATCGGCGTTTCACAGCAAAGTTTGAGAAGATTTGGTTAATGGGCTCGGCACCAGATTTGCCGTATCTACCGCCTATCATATCTAAAAATTCCTCAGATGAAGCATGGTTAGCGCGTGGTGACGAGAATCTTCTGAAGTACTTGCGTGGAGCGACCGTGGTACCGTGGTAAAATGCTTCCACTTATTGGCTCATCGAGATGGCGTTTGATAGCTCATCTTTGGCCACTACAGGCCTTATTGCTTTTATATGGTTTGAATCATCTTCGAATTACTTTACACCGCCACGAGAAGCTCCAAAAATGGCTCGGAAGGGGCTGCCCAAATGGTTAGGATGGCTGATTTTAATACAGGAACACCTTGTGGCAAAACATCGAATTTATGTCTTGACAAGATTGTGAAACGTGCACCAAGTGCGCAGCGCACTCGCTGAGCAATTATGCGAAAGCAACATGTAAATAAGAGGCAAGTGGGTCAATCAATGGCTTATAGTGCGTGAAACCGCTCTATCTAACGCGATTAAACTCGATTCGGAAGGGCAGAAAGTCAGGTATACATGGGAGTCTCTTTCACAGCCTTGTAATTTACCTCTCCAACCGTAAGCCAGCATCTTCTAACATTCCTGTAAGAAGTTGGTAATAGTTATGCCATCTCGGAGTAATTCGCACTACAGTTAGCCAGACCTCACTAACCGTACCATTTTGGCAACTTCACAATCTTGCAAACCTTTATGAGCATCATCTGAAAAATATTCTCAAAGCTACAAAAAGCTTATACCAGCGATATTATGGTATGGCTAACAATCCTTAGAACTTTCTCGGTCACTCCATTCACGAGTAAATGCACAATCCCTCGCAACTTTCTGAGAATCGACTGTTCTGCAAAGCGGGGGCACCACGCAATAGAACTTTATCAGCATTATAATCACGTCGCTACGCAGATGGGACATCCTTATTTTGTCATGACCTGGCTCTACAACTTTTAACAGATAGACGCCTGTCCACACAGGCTCTCGCTCAAGAAACCGTGACATCAAGACGCGCAGACTGTCTCTACCAGATCACACAGTTGAGACCGCTGTACACAATCGCATTTTTTTCGTCCGGCCAGGATCAATCTCGGGGAATATTTTACAATTCCAGTCTCACTAAAAATACACTCTGGAGACAATATTATTCGATCCCTACTTCCCGTCACTTTTGCAGACAGCAGTTCATTGCCACTTTTTGTCGAGCGTAGCTCAGGGCACTGAGCAATGCAATTGCTATAGAATTTGAAAAAATCCCATGTCCAACTGTTGTTGCTACCGCTCACACCAAAGGAGCTCAAGCTCTTTTGGCATAAGCTGGCTAAGATTCACAAGGAGGTAAGTTCGTGACATCCAGATTCTTTGACTTCCACTTACTACATGCCTCGTGGCACTTCGGTAACGCCTATTCCCAAGAGACTGAACATGTCTCAAATTGTAGTCTAGAACCAGACAGCTCTCTACTTTGTCAATGGTCTTGAACTCTTTAAGAAGACTTAGCATAACTCTTTTTCTAAACTAATGTCCCCATCGCAAGACGCATGCATATCTTATCAGTATTTGGCATTTTCAATACTTTGCATACTAAATTAAAATTCTCGACAGTCGCGCGTCATATGTATATCGCCGACGCTTCCCAATTTACCAGAACAATTTACGCACTTGACGGAATCATGCAGTCCATGGCGTTGATTTTGACAGCCCACAATCTTGAGCCGTGGGGTCAGCATCTCTTAAAGAGAATTGCTCTATCTTTGGTAAGTTCCAGCTGGCCTCATTCCTCTCGGTATACAATTGAATCCAGTTCCTTCCCATTTTAGGCAGGGCAACGTTCTGGGACATCACATCTCTCCGCTAGGGGGCGTCTCGGTCGCCCTATGTAGTAAACAATCTCGAGAGTTCTACTGCTAACATCGAATTAAATATATCAGGGTATATATCATCGGTACCGCTACCGATATGCAATCTACTCGTCCACGGAGATGCTCGGTTTAGATTCTCTGCTAGACCGAGGTGTGTCGTCTGTGGTGCGCTTATCAAAATTTCGCCTTCTTTTGTGCTCTGCATTGAATAAATTTCACATCGCTTTGCCAAAAGAAGTAGGATTAGGGTAACAAGGCTATGCGCGAGCCACATTTTCACGAAGACCTTCCATGAAAATTAATTCCACAGTCTCTGGGAGGATCCATCGCCACCACGGCGATGATTTTTGGAAATTGCTTGCAAATTGTCGCCAAATTCGACAGACGGCAGTTGATCGCACACGATACGTCTGTTAAGGCGGTGCGAATTCTTTATCTCCAGAATTTTTGTATAAAGTGCAACCTCTAATTTAAAACTGCTATTACAACATGACAATGCTTCGGTTGTAACATGACTGATATTGTAATCAAATTTGCCGGTTTTGACCATTATTGTGCTATTCTGACTGGATCAGCTAGGGGCAAAAAAGTATCTAGCGTTTTCTGTTGTTCAACGATAGATAGTTGACATCTCGCGTTCCATTCATTAAGGGCACAGTCTAGTCAAACCTCAATACAGAGAAGGAACAATAATTCCGAACTTAGCCATCAATTTGACGACGAATACTACTAATTCCGCGTGATTGTCGTACTCCTTGTAAAACGGAATCTCTGACTTGTCGAGCCCGCATGAACAAATGATCAGCTGATGGCTCCGAACGCATCTCCCAGGAGTAAAACCGGGGGCTTGACAAACAGCTACCACTTATTACCTTTTGATTTTCAAGGGTGACATATAGCTTAATTTATTTAAATTGATATTAGCCATATTTTATTATGTACAATCTAGAAATCTTTACATTTTACGTGGCGCGAGACGAGCAGTCCTAACGTCCCTCAAATCTCTTTGCAACGGAGCCACATATCCTTTATCTAAACAATTACTTTAGTTTCTTACATTTAGTCGGAAGTACAAAAGTGATAATTGTTTGTTGAGCTTTATATGGTACGCGTACCGCTAGAGACTTGAAGTGTAGCCGAGTCTTGCGGGTCAACTCACAGCACCGTGCTTGGGAGATCGCAGGAGACAATCAGCCTGTCAGGGTTTGGCCATATATCCTGGTATTGATTTGCGCCGAAGGTGGGGTAGAATACGGGCTGAATGTGTAAACGTAATTTTTGTTTGACATGATAATCATCTCAATGAGTTCAGGATGTTACTTCAAGTGTACGCGCCTTATCCACGCAACACGCTCCAAACATTAGAATTATTAGGGAAACTTTTCCCTATAAACCCTTCAAAGAGGCCAAGCAGTTTGAATCGGCAAGCTTCTGATAGCTCAGGTTTGCACCTAGCAATCAAGATCTAAAATTGTATTCGTACGGTCTTACACAAAGATGTTATATGCTTCGAAGTTTAGCAAGTATGTGTGCTTCACATGTCATCTGGCTTGGTAGAAACGCACCCACGCTATTTTATACGCACAGCACATTTTAATCTCAAATGACAACAACGTATTGAAACAGCTTAACCGATTTAGAGGTTTGAGCGTTCAAAACGGCAAAGTTCTTATAAAAGTCTCGGAATAGTCAATTGTATGATATAAATTGTGCAATCCTTAAATGCTTGATTGCTAAGAGTAATTGGTCGCAAAAAGAATCGGCTCTTTGAAATCCAAGACTCAAAACACACCCTTACGATAAATTTACGAAATCTTTACCTTACTTGGTACCTTTTCAAGCTGCTCGTCTTTCACAGCAAAGACTAGATTACGCACGATATTGACAAGCGCATCACTCAAAGCTGATTAGCGGAGCAGTTTTGACAAGCAACACATATAAGCACGGCAGGTTTCTTACCTGGCGCAGATTATTCCGGCAATGGACAGCGGACTCGGATTTCCTTCGTTAGATGTTTGCTCCCAAGTTGGAAGGCTGTTGCAAATAAGAAGTAGACTTTAGTTTGAGCGGGGATTCTTTTGTAGAGGCCAGGCTTTCATAATACTTGGAGATTGTTCATTTAGGACACTTGATATTGCTGAGTGGAAACGATTTCCGTCTCTGTTAAGTATCTACGTGTCATCATAGATATGATAATATTCTTCCTCTCAAGACAAAACGAAGATGGATGTTGGATTTACGCATTTCACTTGCTTTGGGTTGATTCCTGCAATTTGAGGCTGCATAACTCTTTCAACCGTAGCGATCGCTTAATTGAAAACATGCGCAGTCTCGAGATAAAGTGACCGACGAGTTAGGCATTCGTAACGAGGTAATAATCAATAGCCAGTGGATGAACCTAAGTGAACGACAGCACAAAGCAACGCCTCAAACAAAGTGACCAAGACCAATCGTCATCGAGATTAGATGCTTACCTATGCAGAGTTGCAGAGTTGCGTGCGGTACATTCTGCGCTAAGCTGAATGTTGTTTTGTATACGCTCACACAAACTAAGTCCATTCTTCCTAGGGCGTTGGTATCACACACATTGGACAAGCGGATGATGTCACAGGAAAACGACGTCGTTTGTTGTCGGTGTTTACTGGCGCATTGTAGTACGCAATTTTTGAAAGCAGTTGTATTCGCTGGTAGGCTATGAAAAATTAGGATTAAGTGAGTGAGCTAAGTATATAAAACCGATGCCTTAGAAGTAGCAAGTAGCTTACTAGCTAATGACCTAAAATATATTCGCTTCACGTGTTGCGTTCGATTAGCATAATTCACCAAAGTTTCAACCGCAAGGATGCTCAAGCCACGTTTCGTATCATCTTAAAGAGCTGAAATCGTTTTAGGAGCTACAACTACTTCCCGTGGGTGTTTGCCATGCGGATAGCACTGGCGATGACGGGTCTGCTGATACCCACTCAAGTTGTAAAACCTGAGGCTGGGACAACAGAAGCGTGGTCTCTCAAAGGCATATTAGTAATCGGGATAATCACCTTCAGCGTGCGATGCAGCATCAAATGAAGTTCCAGTCGCCCCATACCGCTATCCAGGCATTTACTACGCTGCGGGAATTCATCGACCGAACGACGCGACACATCTGTGTGACGCTTTCGAAGCAGCTGCACAAAAACAAGATGGAATCCGGCACTTCGATTGCTTAGAATTTGAATTGTTTGAATGAGCTAGTGAATGAGCTGCAGAGACGCGTTGGTCACGAAGTCAAGAATACCGTTCAAAGCACTTGGACGGAATGATTTCGATGCTGAAGCAGATTTCCCCACTCATTGATTTTCATAATGCCAACAATGGGTTTGGCTTTCTAAAGGTTACCGCACATCATATAAATACTTTGGCTAAGCTCTATGTCTTATTGAGTCTATCACAGAGTGGCACCGATCTTGATGGGGTGGGGTTCATACACTTAGACTTCGCAGAACGAACAGAGTTTATGATGATAAGATTGAGCGTTGTATTCAGGTAGAGAATGCACAAATGCAATATGCAGATGCCAGAGACAGGCGAAATACACATGAAAAGGTAGTGTAACGGGTTAGACGTACCCTTGTATGAAATGGCGGGTTGCACAAAATGGTGTGACCGTACAAAGGTGTAGATAACACAAGTTGGTGTAATCACAAGGTGGTGTGGCTACACCGTAACAAGAAGCCACTACGTGGTAAGATTGCAAATGTTAATGAGGTTGTACTATCTAAATCAGAAAAACCTAGGGTTTTAGATACTGGCGGCTATGACGCAACTAGAACAAACAAACATAGTCTCAATTTTGAACGGAAGAGTCCACTTACCTTGGCTGAGGTACTCGTACTGATTCTTGTATAGAACGTAAGATCGGTAACCTAAGCTTAGCTTCATCTAAGCAAAGAGCTATGGCAGCCCCACTGCACTTAGTAGCACTCGTAGTCAATTTACGCCTGAGCCGTTTCGACTGATCTACTGTGAGTATGAAGGAATTGTCCTATTTGCCCCAGGGTATGCAGGACGGGCTTAATAAGCTGCTTTCCTGCTTGGTCCTGAGGGCGTGGAACACCTTGTTTTGCAGGGACCCGAGGCAAGAAGCGCGCGCCTAGAGGCGCTTTCAAGTTATGAAAATGCTCTGTTACAGCAGAAGCTGTCAGCGTCGACTGCGTCCATGACGCCACCGTCGACGACGGATTAATCCTCCCGACCCAGGCCGCTCATGGTGAGCGTTAAGACCTTCAAGGGTAAGGATGGAGAGAACCCTCTGCTCTGGATAAGAGAGGCCGAGATGGCTATGCCATCCGCCAAGCTCAAAACGAGCAACAGCGCGTGGCGTTAGCTATCTTCAAGCTTGGGGACCGAGCGTGATAATGAGCTTTGATGTACGGTGGAGCGGCATTCCCCTCGTGGATGGAGCCGAAGCGTCACCTTTTGTGAGTGCTTTTGCCGCCTATTTATGCATATCGCGTGCGGTCGCGTGCGATCGCGTTCCCTTGCTACCTGCCAGGGCAAGAAGAAGTCGGTGGTCTTTGTCCAAGAGTTGAGAGCTCTTATTGCCGGGTGGCAGCCAAACCTCTCCCCGAGGCGCGGTCGAAGTGACCGTCTTTATGAAGGGCTTCCGCACCGGCGTGGTCAGAATGGAAGTCTTCCGTGTGTATCCGTCTTTTTTATAGTAGCTGTGAATGTGGCACTGAATGCTGAATTTAACTTTAAGTCAGCACGTCTTGGTAGGAATGTACACCCTCAGAGCTAGTCGAGCGGCCCTGAACCAATTGATCTCAGCTATGCAGAGAAAGAGGAGGAAGAGCTCCGAGATGCCTGACAGCGTTTAAACACCTAACAATGTTTTGTCTGCGGAGACACCTGTCACCTTCCGACTGATTGTCCCCTGCGCAAGGTGCGTAAAGGTTCGACGAACCAACGTCCCGCTTCAAACCAATCTGGTTTGACGCGGAAAAACAAAATACTTCAGCAGGCGAGGGGTAACCTACTGGGCGAGAACTGAGTCCTGTTGAGTTTCAAAGT